CTCGGCAAGTGCAAGTTACACAAGGGGGAAGCACCACTGGCCTGAGGCCGCGAAACAAGGCGAGGTGACGCCGCGCTGCGTTGCCGTCATCAGGGGTTTCCCCAGTAATTGAAATTAGGGGGGGGGGGGGGTCTAAATTTAAGGGGGGTTATGGGGGGGCATTGATAATAGAGGAGTCGTTGCGAATTACGGGGGTGCCTTCAGAAAAGCCAGGGGGTATACCCCCCCCCCCCCCCCCAACCAGGGGGTGTCTAGGAAAATTACTGGCCATCACACTCAGAGTTGTCACTCTGTTCGCAGGGATAACACTGCCTCCTTGACCTCCTAATGTCATCTCACTGCTGCCAAGTTCACCACAGGCAAGCGCCCAAATCATATACAGGTCGGAACGACCGCCCACTACTCAAAATAGGGATGTCGAGGACACTCGGGCGCACAGCAGAACCCTCCGATATTAGCAGATGGCAGCGCGACTGCCCGGATTAAAGCTTGATGAGTAATGGGGGGTGGAGGCCACTATGTCAGACGCAAGCATCCAGAACACGAAATATACAGGTTGACACGAAAAAAAAACAAAAAAACTGACCGGTAGTGATCCAGGAATGTTTTTGTAGCTGGCACGGGTGGGGTTTTGAAGAAGCAGGTTTGATATCCTCAAGAAGTAATGAAATATTGCGGAGCTGATGTACACAAGCGGCCGCCTTGCCCAGTGCTGTTTTACAAGAGGTCTATCGACCAAATCAAAATATTCTCGCGGGCTAGTTGGTTATACATACTAAATTACAAATAGCGCTAAGACAACGACAGACGAAGAAGTGGACAGGACAGGCGCTAACTCACAACTGACGGTTTTACATCCAACGATAAAGAAGAAGGTGAAGGAAGTGTCTGGTGTTGAAAAAAGAAGAAATAAGTATATTTCTAGCCGGGGCGCTCTAAGAAGCGCCCCGGCTAGAAATATACTTATTTCTTCTTTTTTCAACACCAGAGGCTTTTTAGCCTTAGAGCGCCCCGGGGCGCTCTAAGGCTAAAAAGACTAAAGCACAGTAGACCAAAACGAAAATATTAAATATTAAACAAAGGTAATGATTTTGAACTACATGGTGATTCAAGGAGACGCCAGGCTCCTTAAATCGACCTAAACATACGGTTTCTTAACCTATCGAGCTACGAATTTGTGCAGCGTTGCCTACGGATGGTGCATTTTTTTTTTTTTTGTAAAATTTGCAAAGAGCGGACTTACCTGAAGAAAAAGTAAAGAAAGAAAAAGGCTTAGCTCCTATGGAAACGCAGCGACGCCACCGGTCTGCAAACAACACGGCGCCGTTTCACACGGGAGACAAGAGATGGCACAAGCGGTCGCGACGCCAACTGCCGCCAACGAACGAGCATACGACGCCGAGAGTCGGCGTCTTTAGCAGACAAGGAACTGCAGTTTCTTGTTGTTACCGCGCCTGTTTTCGTTTCTGCGACTGTCGCCGCCTGCGGAACGCAGGCCGCTTTTGAATGGGAAATATCGTCTGCTAAAGAGGCCGGCTCTCGGCGCCCGTATGCTCGTTCGTTGGCGGCGTTCGTTGCGCCATCTCTTGTCTCCCGAGCGAAACGGCACCGTGTTGTTTGCAGACCGGTGGCGTCGCTGCGTTTCCATAGAAGCCAAGCCTTTTTCTTTCTTTATTTTTCCCTCAAGTAAGTTCGCTCTTTGCAAATTTTAGAAAAAAAAAATGCACCATCTGTGAGCAGCGCTGCACAAAGTCGTAGCGCGATAGGTTAAGAAACCGAATTTTGCGGTCGATTTAAAGAGCCTGGCGTCTCCTTGTATCACCCTGTATATACGATACTATTCTGAAGGCTTAGAAAATAACCTCTAGACCTTGGGAGACAAGATAAGAATAAAAAAGGAATCGACCAACTCACTGTCTGTAAACAAGCCCGCGTTTGCCCACACAAGGTGTGGACAATAGCGCGTGCGCAGAAACCAGATTCCGGTAAGACAAACATCCACGCATGCGTAAAGGTGACAGCAGCGCCACCGCAGTGGCGTGACGTGAGAGAGTTAGAATAGAATAAAATAGTTTATTTCAATTTCCGTCCTCAATAAACTTTCCAAAACCGTCTCACTTAAGCACATAGGTGCGTGTGTGTAAGAACTGGCAGTCCATGTGTGCAAATGTCCCCCCCCCCCCCCCCCCCCCCCCCGGAGCCTTTGCTACAGAAAAAAAAAAGAGGGAAACAACAAGAATAAAACAAACGAAAAAAACTAAAATGCAGGAACCCGTGATGTGTCATGCTGTGGCCTGTTCATCCTGAACTCTTTGCGAATAACTATGCGTCGTTATACAATAGTATATGTTACTTTTGTCCCGCGTAAAAAAAGAAACACCGCTTGCAGCAGTAGCGAAAACCAAAAACGACAATTAACGCTCAATACGAAAAAATATCTATCCGAGCAAAAGAAGCATGAAAAATATATAAATATATAAGAAAGATACCGTGAGTATTGGTCGAGAATCAGCCATATACAAAGCAGATAACGAAACTCAAAAGCAACAAGAAATATTTGAGACTAAAAGCTTAACAGCAAAGTAATCTCAACAAAAACCAACGCAAGCAGCGGCCGTGAATTAGTAAAGAAGCAAAGAAGCGACAAGAGTTACTTGACATGAGTGACAAGGCAGGATCATGGATAAAATATAAGGGCATACTTGCAGATTCAAATATACCCTGCTTGGCCACCATTTCAATATTTTTCTTTCTTCTTTTTTTACTACATGTAGTGACTGGATTTCTTGCAAATTGTTAGTAAGTTGATTGAAGAGATTTGGTACATATTAGTTTCTTGATCGTGTTTCATAATTTGTATATACTCTCAGAATATTATATTCCCCGGTCCCCCTAAGCTGTTTTTGTCTATACTTCGTTTCAGCTTCCGTCCGAGCGCAGCCAAAGGCTGAGGGACGGTTCGCAACTTCGAGAAGAGCATTCTTACGCACCACAAAGTAGTTCACAAACGTAATTTCTTTTAAAATAACTGCTTTGTGCGTAAAAACTGCACAATATTCCAGATGTGTACTGCTGAGAATGATTTGCAACTAAAGGAATCAAATCTTTGAAGTTTATATTTTTATTAAATACGTAAATGCATGTGGTTTGGTGAAAACTTGTATATCCGCTGGCAACACGGCTGCAGCGCTCGGTTTTTCTGTGTGATTTCGTTCCCGTAATCGCCGAATCATGTGCTTCGCTGCTTTCCTCACCGAGTCGCTTCAAAACGTCCTTTCGCAAAGGCACCTTTGGGCGTCAGGCGCGAGAAGTCGGGATGAATGTCTACTTTCAAATTCGGCAGGAGACTCCGGCCGCGTCGTACCGACGCGTTGTAAACAAGCAAAACGTCCGGGCCACTGCAATTCAGATACGCGGCGAAATCAGGGAACCCCTTTACCTGCCGATCACATTGAACGCCGAGAAGCTGGTGGAAAGGACTGCGCCTCGAGCCCGGTATATCCAGACAATACAAGGAAACATCAACGGCCGGGTCATCGGGGACCTTGCAACGTGTACTTACAACTCGAAACTACGCCGAACAGGTGGAAAGGTCGGACACAGATGCCAGCGGCCAGCCTACGTACTGACATCCCCTGTGACCAAATTTCAGAACGTGAAAGGGCACTTTTTAAACCTGTAGCAGTCGATATCGTTGATACACCCGTAGCAGACGAAATACTCGGCGAGCGCGGGCGGCGCGGCCGACTGGCGGCGCAGCGGAGTGATACAAAAGTGCAGGCGAGATCGCGTGACCTATTGCCGGCATGTGATTGGCTCCGGCCGCACGTAGCTTTGGCTGCGCTCGGACGGAAGCTGAAACGAAGTATAGTTGACTTTGTCTCCCGAAGGAACCGGAGGTCCTTCGGGAGGACCTCGGGTTCCTTCGGGAAAATTTACCCATAGTGCACCGCGCGGTTACGCCAACGGCGACGGCCACGGCGACGGCGACGCCGCTCAAGCCGGCAACGGGCGCCTAAGAGCTGCGCTCTAAAATGGCCGGTGTAACCCTTTAACCATCTCGAACGTGCGTTTATATTTTGTTCGCTTGCCAGTTGGGCACTGTGTGAAAGCTTTGTTGGATATCTTTCTTCAATTAGATCTATTATATCAAACAAACTTTTGCCAGTGTTGTGTTGCCCGTGAGCAAGGGAACTCGGAAGAACTTACAAACAAGCGTTAAAAAAGTATTGTACCGAGCGCGTCATTTAGAAGGAGCAAGATCATAAATTTTCTTCCATTATTTGCTAACGACAAAACTCTCTATTTAAAGGGAAATACAGGTCGAAAACGAAACCAAAATAAATGATTGTTATCGCTTTAGTAGCAGGAAATATAAACACAGCCGAAATATTACGTCAAACTTTGGCCCGCGTACTCCACTAAAATAAATTTTAAAGGTGCGATTAGCTATTCGTTAGCGGGCGGTAAGCGGGTTAGCTTTCAGTAAGGAACACTGGCGCAGCACCCTTGCGACGTCACGTCGCGGTGGAGGTGCGGTTGATTGGTTGTACCACGTACCGCAGCACACTTGTTATGTCACGTCGCGGGTGTAAGGCTGATGATCAGTGTTGCCATACCTCTAGCAGATAGTCTCGGTTTTGACGTAAACGCCCGAAACCAAACTTTGAGCCGTGATATATTTACAAAGCTACACACATCTAAAAAACAATTATACCTCGTAGTCTCGGGACAGTCATTTAGCTGGAAACAGTCGTAATCCGAAATTAAAATACATTGACCAGAGATGCCCTTTAAAAGAAATGTGCTCATTGGAGCCAGAAGATCGGCGCTAAAATTTTATATTCACCGATACCCTGTTTGATGAACATGAAAAATTGCACATTTTCGTCTTTGCACAAAATTCATAGGGCAAGAACGAACTTCTTCAAAACTAGGCCTTCGAAAGAGTGTGAATTTACTTTCTCTTTCGAAGCTTTTAAGTAAAAGTGAGTACTCACCAGAAAACTCAGTTTTTGATTTGCTAGTTCCCTGTATCTCTACGTTTACGTGTTTTCTGAAAGATACAATTGAAAATCTTAACTGAGAATTAGCGTAATGTAAAAAAAGACAAATTAATTATATAATTTCCAATCAATGTGTATCTCAATTGCAGGGATGTTAAAAAAACGTAGGTTTTACTGCCCGAATTATTAACGCAGTCCTGTTTTTTTTTTTTTTTTAAAGTAAAGATGACACAAGAAACTGCACAAGAAAAGGCCACATTTTACATCTGTTGTTTTCCTAATTATGTGTCGCCGATTCTGAGGCAACCTGCCCGAATTTGAAACCCAAAGGGAATTAAAACTTCAAGTGACTTGCCAAAATTTTACAGATGTGAGTGGCTGAACAGATGTCGTGTAAGTGAAATAACTAAGAATTCGAAGGCCGTAAAAAATATCCTGCAGTCCTTCGCTGGGTCAACTTAGATCGAAGCATCAAAGAAAATCAATAGGAATTGCCGAATACAGCATATGAATGCGCCTAACAACGGCGTTCCGAGGCCTACGTTGCTTACTAGGATTACCTCAGCCACTGCGACATCACTTGACGCTTGTCTAACAGACATAGAATGTAACCAGATCTCAGCCGGCGTTATTTTGCACGACATAAGCGGCCATTTACCTATCTTCTGCATTGCAACTCTTTCAACCGCGAAAAGTAATCTAAATAAAAAAAAAACATTGTCAACGCAAAATAAACGAAGAAACGCTAAGAATTTTTAGTTACTTAATAAATCAAGAAAACTGGGAAGACGTTTATAATGAACATGATCCGACAAAGTCCTATAATTACTTCCTGTCTAAATTTGAACGCTGTTATTATATAGTATTTCCTCTGTATGAAACTAAAACCAAGCCTAAAAATTAGAAAAGCGTGGATAACAAATGATTTGTATAAAAAAAAGAAGACCGCAAGTACTATGCCTTCATACATCATCGCGATCTAAGGTTACTGTCTGAGTTTAAAAAATTTAGAAACAAGTTGAGCTCTGACTTAAAACAAGCAAAATGTGAGTATTATAAAAATAATTTTCAGCATAATCATAATGACCATCGAAAAGTTTGGAATACAGTAAACGAACTAACAAACAAAAAGCAAAAACTCTTTAATGTCACGGAACTGATAATTGATAATGTAAGTGTGGCAGGGAAAGAGCTCGCAGACGGAATGAATTCGCATTTATCAATATTGTCACGTGCGCGGCTAAAAATACAACTAATGATGACTCTGTAAGACAAAAAAATTAACAAAATTCAATTATGCTTGCTCCAACGCAGAATGAAGAAGTTTACAAAATAATAAATAGTTTATATAACATTGTGGCTGCAGGTGAGAATGGAATTAAAGCTTTACCAATTAAATTCACCCCTTGCATAATAAGTCCAGTGTTATCAAATATAATAAATAAGATGCTAGAGACTGGTGAATTCCCTGATGAGCTAAAAGTTGCAAAAGTAGTCGCTGTGTATAATGGCGGAGGAGAAACTGAAGTTAATAATTACAGGCCGATATCTGTTCTCTCTGTGTTTTTAAAAATGTTTGAACGCGTTATCAATGAGAGGCTAAATACTTTTTTTCTCAAAAATTTTAAATTATTTTTGAATTCCAGTATGGATTCCAGAAAAACAAGTCTGCCGAATCAGCCCTGACTGAAATAAAAGATAAAAGAGTTGAGAATATTGAGAGAAAACTTGTCACTCTAGGTTCATTTTTAGACCTAAAGAAAGTTTTCGACACCGTACAACACGGTATCTTACTTAAAAAAAGACTTGAAATGTACAGAGTACGTGGAGCGGCGTTAAAATTAATTAAAACATATCTCACAAATCGGTACCAATACGTGTGCGTAAATGATATGATATCTAGTCAAATGAAAATACGTTACGGGGTTCCTCAGGGCTCTATTTTGGGGCCGACGATGTTTCTAGTGTATATAAATGATATAACGGATATACCAGGTTGCCCCGAGATGACAATGCGTGCAGGTGACACAAATGTGTTTTTTCCACATTTAACAAAAAAGAGTGTAACAAAATTAGCCAACGAATATCTTACAAAATTATCCAAATGGTTACAAATGAATAGAGTAAGCCTCAATACCAATAAAACGAAGTATCTGATTTTTAAGCCGACGGGGAACCGAGATGACAGCATTATAAACATCAAATTTGAAGGCACGGTAGTTGAGCAGGTGGTTGAACAAAACTTCTAAGTGTCTGGTTCACTGAGGACCTTTCTTGGAATACGCACGTCAGCAAACTAAAAGTCGACTTGTCCCGAGTTACTGGCATTATTTATAAAATTCAAAATATAATTCCTGCCTGGCTTAAAGTAACGGTGTATTACTCCCTATTTTATTCTAGGATCAGTTACGGCATCATGGTTTGGGGTACAACAACAGCTGCAAACTACAATAAACTAATGATTTTACAAGAAAAGATACTACAGATGTGTTAAAATTATAGAGACGACATAATGATTTTAAGAACGCAGCCACTCTTTATCAAGTATAATATTCTTAAGGCAAATCAAATTTATTATTTAAAACTGTTGCAATTGATACATAGAAATAGGCTACACTCGACGCCCATTACCAGTTCTAATCCATACTTATTACGGAACCCAATTCGAAAAACACCATACGTAAGAACAAACTATGATCGACCAGCATCACATTTTCCAATCACTAAAATGCTTAATAGAACAGATCAACATAAACTTTGACCAGCCGTTTGGTAGTTTCAAACATTTTTGCAGATAAATTCTAGTGGCAAATGGCGTGGCATTTTTTTTGGTATAAAAACTTTTTTTTTCTGGGTGTAACATTGTGTAATTTTTTCTACAGTTCAAATTTGCATTGCAGTGCCTGTTTGACCTTTTGAATATTGTGTTATTTACCCATCAACAGAGTGTGCAGATGTTTTTATCTTCAAAGAATTGTTTGACCTGTTTTGTGAACGGTTCATTTCGTGTTTATTCAGGATACCAATCATTATGCTATCTGTTCATAGCGTGTTTTATTTCGTTACAGCGGTTATTTTTTGTTGGTTCGATTGTAATTGCTATTATGTTGAGCTGTACGATTGGGGGGGGGGGGGGGAAGGGGGCAGAAGCAATGTCAGGCATTGAGCCTTTATCTCTGCCCCCTCTGCGGAAACAAATCCCCGAAACAAATAAAGAAAAAAATGGGGGGGGGGGGGGTATTAGAATTCCCGTCCATTCCTGGGCATCTTGGCTTTACTTTTTTTAATACCTGTAATCCCCCAGGTGCAGTACAGTAAAACAAGGGGGGGGGGAAGTAGAAAACAAAAGCAACGAGAACATAAAAGGAAACAAGATACACAGGGATGTCAGGACTTCATGACAGCAGCGATATTATCAATTTATATATACAAAAAGCAACCATTGCATGGAAAGCTTCGCTAGTCTATCTGGCCGCATATTCCTATCATCAATTTTCTGTTATAAACAATATTATGTTAGCAAGTCCGGCCGCACGAAAAGCTTTTAAATATTTTACTGTTCGTAAGTTTGCGAGAAACATAACGAGGTGGAAGTTTGGTTTTAGGTTAATCTATGCGTATGTTACAAAATTGCCAGTGAATTTCCAATGGAAAACGTCTGGTCCAACTGCTTAGCAACCCTCGGACCGATTGACTTGGGGAAGGTTTCATTTAAGGACTATAAATATGCAATTTTTTGGCACAGTTTCAGGTTTTGAGGCTAGGGATATTTATGGGACGTTATATTTCATCAAAATGTCCCTCTTTTCGACCTGTGATGCATGAGCACTCCTGGAGAAACCAGAGGCAATAAGACGATTTTTGATTATGCGTTGGGGAAGGCGAATTGTTTTGCTGCATTTATTTTCAACAAGATATTGTTCCTAGGTATTTATATAGTGAAAAGAAATAACCAAGTGTGCACTCCGGTGAAAGAATACGCGGTGTTATTATTCTATCTACCCAGCGCCACCATTTGTGAACACACACTCATAGTTACAGTTAAAGGAGCCAGTAAATGATTTCTCTACTTTCGCTAAATACTAACTAGAATCACTCCCTAGCGTTAATAATTGAATAAACTGGCCTGAGTTCTTCTTTCTAAACTATGGCAGTTGCAAAAAAAAAAAAAAAAAATCGGGAAATGGGCTTTATTCATTTCCTTACTCGGAGCCAGAAGAAGCGGCCACGTGGCCTGGTGCCTATCATATGCCACCAACGTTAATCATTACCATGCGCTGCGGTTGGCAAAGTAGAAAACGCGTACTGAGAACCAGGCATGGTTACAGTTCGGCTTTCCCATCCCTGCAGTGTTTGGACTCGAGCAATTACCCGAATTTCCGCAGAGGCATTGACTGTATACGAGTCAAAGTCGAGTGCTCGCGCAGTTCTCGTGTCCAATCCATGAGCCCCGCTCTACTGTCGTCAGGCGGGTGGTTTCGATCCAACAGTTACGTTACTAAGTTTTGCTCAGGCAAAACTACAAGAAATGGTCCCCTTTTGTCCACGCAATTTTACCGCACCAAGGAAGCTTCTGAATCAGTGGCGGTCTGAACGACTATACTTGGGCCAGACTACGACCAGTGCGCCTCTGCAAATCCATGAACATTCCAACCCTATATCCTTTCATGGCCCCTTTAATTCAGGTGCACGTTATTCTTATGTTAATGCGCGACAATGAACCACTCGCATGCCCCTTTTTTAGGTCTGTTCAACGTCCCCTGAAGCATGTTTTGCAAATCTTTTATTTTTCTGATTGGTTTGGAATTTGTTGTGTTTGTTGCTCTTACAAGCGCGTTGATGGGGAGTTCATTCTGGTTCGACCAAATGGCTTTCTTTGTTGTTGTTGTAGTTTTTTGTTGTTGTTGTTGTTGTGGTGGTGGGTTTGGGGGAAGGGGGAAGAAAGGGGGAGCGAGAGGACGCCGTATGAAAAGCGACATTTGTAAAAGCATATTTTCACCTCTGCTGTTTTTTTGGTGCGGCGTCGGCACTTTAAAGACGCAAACAAAAA